CTTAAATACTTTTCTAGCTTTCATTGTTACTATTATTATTTCCAAGGAAAGAAATCTTGAAATACAGTGGGCAAACACGTGTATTTTTGTACAGTAGGTAGATTCACACCTATTGTTTGTAGGCTAATGATTTTAACTGGTAGGTGGAGGCAGGTTCTGACATATGACCCACTGGTTGGAATCTGAATGCATAGACCAAAGAGCCACAGATCTTTATTGCCACGACATGGTTTAATTAATTTATGTGTCATCTATCGGTAAACCCTACGCTATGCACCTTTCACTTAACTGCCCTGAGTAGTTGCTCTTCTTAGGCAGACAAACACGAAGAGAGGTAGAATTAAGCTAGAATATTACTTAAAACATAAACTTTGTATAATTTGGGCACGATGAAACATGTCGTACATTGCAGTAGCATCGGGAAGATTTCAAAGAGCTGAGAGATTAGTTGTTAGTGAGAATGTGAACATCAAGAGTAGACCCAGAGATTGTAAGAGAAGTAAGGGAATATTTGGGGAATTTGAACGGAGAGATGCTGATACATACCTATCCAGATGGGGAACCGTGTGAACTCTTAGTTCTTGACCGAGGGGATTGCAGTTTTTTTCGAAAATTGCGAGATTTTTAAAGTGTAACTTTAGGTAAACATAGGTAACGGTAAAAGGAAGTATTGGTGATACTTAGTCAATCAGAGAACTTTTCGATAATTTCAAAACACCCATGAGTTTAAATGGCCTCTAACTTTGTCCTTCTGGAATGAGAGTTTTACAATCACACATTGTGAAAGTCTGCAAGGGAAAATACATTTATTATTTCCTGTTGTGAGTATCTCCTGGAGCTTTCTCTCTTGGCTTTATATCGTCTGCTGATACTTCCGAATCCTATAATGAGCGTCGGTGATCATGAGTTGCACCATGTGTTTTCCACTAATTTCCAGCCCATTGGAGAGCTGATAGATGGTTTATATCTGACACTAATTGATAGAACATGCTGGCGTAGACACTCGAGGAAATATAATTGTTTTCTTGTAGAGACCTCATTAGAATGGCTTAAGTTCCAGAAGGGCCACGACGCTCTCAGAAGCGATAGAGATCCTGAGACGAATCCAGAGTTATTATGGACTTTAAAAGTCTATCATAAAAGAAGTGAAAGAAGCAATGTGCAGAGGATAATCACAAGTTATTCACACAAAAAGAGCCTATAACTGCGACCAAACAGATTTTGCTTTCAACTTTGTTTAACCAACGTTCTATATACGCTTATTCACCTTGATCTTTTCATAAAAGAATGGTAAGTAAAGTACTGTATGTGCACCTGAAAAACTAACCGTCAATTACTTACTGTGTTAATAAAAATGGCCTAACACGCGTGGGCCTGAAAATAGAAACATAACACTGGATCAAGCTTCTTCAGTAAACTATGAGGAGATTACAAATCAGTGTAAGACGGAAGATTATTTAGAATGAAAATAAAGATTTGGGGCTCCAGAACACTAACAGTCGATGAGTAGCAACTTTGAAGGATCGAAACACGAAGTTTACTTCATAGATAATAATTCATACTGCTACTTTTCGCTTACGAGTGGAAATATATGCCTTTTAGGCGCACAGGTGAAATTAGAGTATGAAACCAATACTCTCGCAAGCAGCCTCAGTATAATCTTGATCACAAGAATGACAAGAACTGTTGACGTTCAATCGATGTTTCGAAGCCAGAGTTGGACGAGTCCCAAATACGACGAAACGTGCGTCCTGAATTCTAGTGGTAGCCACCAAGTAGATTACGATATATGGACTGAATGGTTTCGGAAATGTCTTATAACAAGAGGAATACACAGAAGCAAAAGATTTCCTCTACTTCATTCAACAAGTAGTTAGATCGTTTCCATTCATTTCTATACAAAAAAAACAACTCTTCTTAGGTTTGTTAGCACTTCGGTTAGCTAAGAAGAAAAAGAATCAAACACTCAGGAACTGCAATACCATTCTGTAAGTAGTGTGCTTTAATGCTCATAACTTCAACTACACGACGGTACATCTTAGGAATCAATGTCAATTTAAGCCTTTTACACTAAATGTCAACTAACACTAACTCACTACTTCGATAGTTTACAAAACTTTTCTCCTCGATAAATACTGCCTTCATGGTAATGACTTCGAACAATTTGTAGTACAGTAACAAGATGAAAATTTTCTATCTGGAAAGTACAATATGGAATCAGTATTGTTCCACTGTGTGATACAAAATAAAACAACTAAAATAAAATTATATTCTATCACACTGGTCAAGCTTTATTCTTGTATTATAGTATAATATGGATGTACTGTCAGATCAGTCAGTAGGACTTAACGTTGTTATGTTACGTTGCAGTTCACTCATTTAGCCCTTATTAACATCATCATCTATGGAACCGACAAGATATTTGACTACATCAAATAATCAGTATGTTGTACAATAGTTCGATGTCCTATTTTACAGCTAAGACAGCCTCTGGAAGTACGTATGAAGAAGTTTCGGGCTTTTGACTACAGCTGACTTCATAGCGTGACTTGCGTATGGTGAAATCACCATATGAGCAATTCGGTTAGGCATAGGATAAGTCAGACAGATAAAATCAACATAGAATCTTGCAAACAAATGGAAAGGAAAAACTGATTTCAAAGCAGACCAAGGTGTATAGGGGAAGAAACAACTTGAAGACAACGGTTAGTGTAAATATTTAAGTTTTAGAAGACTTCAAAGAGTGAATACATCTGCACTACTGTAATCAATTTTCAGTCATGTCATCAAGAGTCCTCAATAATTGATTTTAACCATCTTGCGGACCCCAGTCAGGTAGTCTACATTTCTCAACGTGGCTCAGACCAACGGCTAGAGATTTCATAGACTGGTGTTGATATGGTTGCAAGTTCGGGGGGAAAGACATGGGTTCTAATAGTACGCGAACGAGATAATAACGCAACGAGATACTTGAACTGGATACGAGTAATACGACTGTTCTCCCCCAAACCCTATACTTCACTGAGCCGCGCAAATCAGAATACAAAGACGGTCTGTGGCTGCAGAACGACAACTTTATTAGACAAATACATGATAAATATACATTTACAAAACTCTCAGAAAACGAAGCCACAAATGAACCAATCCGATTTGTTATGTGACGTCGAATTCGTCCAATTAGGTAATCATGTCAGTGCATGCATAAACCATGATCTGAACACGATTTGAAAACAACTCTATTGGCTGCCTTTTTGTCACTACGTATCAAGTGTCGCGTCTTCCTGGTCACTCTGAGCCCACTTGCAACGTCATCAAACTTCCCCTAGCACTACATGTCGAGGTAGGTGGTGGCACCGCACACGCAGTACATGTCCAAGCTACCTCAGTCGATAAAGGTTCACAACCTCATCGATCGACTTGCCTTCCTTCTGCAGAACCCTCTGCCTAACCCTTACATTGATCACATTGTGATCCCACCATACGCAAGTCACGCTATGAAGTCAGCTGTAGTCAAAAGCCCGAAACTTCTTCATACGTACTTCCAGAGGCTGTCTTAGCTGTAAAATAGGACATCGAACTATTGTACAACATACTGATTATTTGATGTAGTCAAATATCTTGTCGGTTCCATAGATGATGAATGTTAACAAGGGCTAATGAGTGAACTGCAACGTAACATAACAACGTTAAGTCCTACTGACTGATCTGACAGTACATCCATATTATACTTTAATACAAGAATAAAACGTGCTGACTGTGGTAGAATTATAGTTGAGCGTAGCAAATTTCTTTACACCATACGCGAAGAATGCTACGAAGACATCTATGGCGACAAACGTGTAATCTCTACAAATTTACTTTAAACGGCCATGGCTCATAACTATATAACAAGACAGAACGGACTGCAGCGTGGTGTTTTTTTTAACAGGTAGTCGAATATCTCTCCGGTGCTGGAAATGACAGAAGTTGGCAAATGGCAAACGAGTCTTATGTATACGAACTGAGATTTCGTCAGAAACCGGTCCGTTCAAGCTGACGTAACTTCCCAAGTAAGAGAAGTGTCGACGCATTCCACCACTTCAGTCCCTGCCATTAAACTAGGAATATTTGCAGACCAGCCCTAAAGCACCGTCTTGCGTTTGATAGGTCTGAAACGCATGCCAAGCATACTCAGATTCCTAGTCAACGCTTTCAGAAAACCCTGCGTTTTGTCAGCGTATTCTCCTAGCAAGATAGTATCGTCTGCACACTTCATATCAGCCAAATGACCACCAACGAGTAGATCAATTCTAACGGGCACCACTAGCTGCCGTCAATTTTGATGACAACTCTCCATAAGCACATACACGGTTGCGGGAATTCGATTAGAGAGCTTTGAATAGCATCGTATACTTCGTCATTACTCCTTTCACAGACAGGCACTCCAGTAACACTTTTCGGTCGACAGAGTTGAATGCCACCTTCAGGTCAAAAAATATGGCAAGTGTCGGCCGGTGGTAAGCATGCTTGTGTTCCAGAACCTAACGGTTGGAAATCCGATCGATGCATCCCCGTCCAGGTCTGAAACCCGCCTGGTTTTCTCAAACTCCAGTCAGGCGTCAGAAGGAAGTCAGCCGATGAAATCGTGGATCTTCATTTAGTGAGTTGGCTTGGACACGGTGTGAATGCTGAGGCGTGGCTTATTTTGACACCCAATGTTAGCTGGGATAGGATTGGGTACGGAGAAGGCTAAAAGCAGTCAAACAAAACGTAGTATCAGAGCATGGAATCTTTGACTGTCAGTTTAAGTTTCATGCTGAAAGACAGACTTCTGGCTGGAGACCCCGGAACAAACAGAACCAATGGTTGGAGTTTTGGTGATACGAATCAAGATCGGTCACGACAAAAGCAGAAAGCACACTCCTCTATCTTCAAAGTCTTGTATATTTTCATTACTCTAAATTTGTTCATCTTCCTTCAAATCATAATTTTTTCTGCTTTATTGTAATTCTTTTTTTGTTCAATTATTCTCTGCGTGCAGTTGTGAACTGTGGCAACTGGAACCGATGCACTTCTAGACCAGATTCGATGTTTATTTACCTATCTGCCACAATTTGCGCTATTACACCACGATACAAGGCAGCAGGATGAAGATGGGAGGAAATAAATTGTGATCAAGAGTCGTAGAAAGTTCTAAGAATAGAACAGGGGGTAACATAAATAACGACATGGTCAGAATGAACATAATTTTGGAAGTATCTACACTGCTACGATCAAGAGCCTGAGTCATATCCAACTGTCGTCTAGCCAAACCAAGAAGTATACACTTCGCTATGTGGCTTATACTAACAGTCAAAGACTCAGATGACTGATGTGAGTGCGACCACCCTTAACCTTTCTCTAACCCACCTGTTAGACTTTTAGAATACAAAAGTTACCCATAAATACCTTAAATCAATGAGCACTTAAAAATAACCAATGAAGTATGAACGTTTTATGTTTGGCAACGTACTCCGAAGGTAATTAAACAAAGTGAAAAAACTGTCGTAAGATATACAGAAGTATATCTGATCAACAACTTTATCACCTTGAATGTGAATGTTTTAACTTCCACCTAATTGGTCTAAAAGTACTTCCCTGCTTGATGATGTTACGTATACTAAAAGTTGTTACTTTAAAGGTCCGAGTTTTCACCCACATAGATAAACTACTTTTACAAAACTGTATTTGTTGACCGAAAGCAGATTACTTCTTTATCAACTTGGTGAGGAGTAAAGACGATAACAGCTTATTATCTTGCTCCTTAAAAACACATGTAGCTTCGTGTAAAGCATAGGTATCATAACCATAACCCGTTAGCTAAATCCCAAGATCTCATTTACACTTATTGTTCAAAAGTGAAACGCAGGTAACTTCGCTTAAAATTATTCCACTACTATTTTAGGTTTGGTTTTTTATTTTGCTGAAAATAACAACCAATAAAAAAGCATACCTCATTCTAAAGCCGTCAAGAACTAATCGAGATAAAAATAAGTGCTAGCTGATGACTGTATAATGGGCACATTTGTCGATCAGGAACTTACACGAAAACAGCAAGTTAGAAAATCTTCAAGAACACTTAGTTAATACAAAGAGCGAATGAATGAATGAATGAATGAATAATTAAACCATCCAGAGCAGAACGTTTATTTTCAAACCTGTTTAATACAGTATTCTGCTACTACATAATTCGTAAACGAGAGGTAACAGATTCTTAAGTCTCATCAAAAATTTACAACATTGAAAAGAAACAATGCAAACTGACAGTCAAATTAACTAAGTAGTCTTTTAATAATTAAGGACATATTTAGATAACTAAAAGATTGATAATCCAAGTCATGTGAAAAATCATGGTCTTTTGTGACAATAACATATATTTCCAACATAGCTGAATAAGTATACAATGGCTTTCTGCTGTACAATGAAGGTTCTAAGCTTTGATACAATGAGTAACCCAGCAGGTTATTTCCATATGGCATTCAGATAAATGTGATAAATACAAATACCTAAAACAAGTATATTATGCTTCAGTATACTGATAGTCAACTAGACTTTCATTCGAACACTAGAACCATCTACTGGAACAGTACCAGTTTCAGAACTACTGACACTACTACCATTTTTGCGAATTTTATTGGCTTTATTGGTTGGCATTAAATTTAACGAAGACTCATGATTCTGATCCATTGAGTGTAGCTTCTCCACCATAGGAGTGCGCTTATGAACTGTCCGGGAGCATGGGGATTGTTTCCGTTTCTGTCGAGTTGGTTTTTTGCATTTGAAGATAGGGTTCTAGGAGACGTTTCATCAACACTAAAAGAGGAGCCATCACTGCTCTCAGACTGTGCATCTGAATCACAGTTGCCTTTGGAATAACTCGGCTTCCGACTATTAGGCTTAAGTTCAGGGACATCAGCGACCAGAGGACGTAAAAATGAAAAGCTTGGTTCGTGTTCTATGACATATTTACTGCAAAATTGTGAGTTAACTACTATAAATTTACATAATCCCAGGGCTAATTGTCTTCGAACTTCGAGTCGAAGTAAACTGATATGCCTGATTGAGCAACTGTTCTAGGAAAAGTTCCAAAGAACGTGCTAAAATCTGAATGATATGCTGATTAAACACGCTTACAGACAATTGGAGGTACAGTAGCAGTCAACTTGCCAATTTCTTCATCTAACTGCATGATTTTCTTGATCCTGGTCTACAAAAGAAAGCCGAATTAATTCACACGCGCAAATAATGACGGGATATGAACGAAAACTGGTTTTAGGACGTACCGTAGGAAAACGAGATGCAAACCTCCGTTTCGCCGGCATTTCTAAATATTTTGAACAGACCACTCCAGGGTGACCTTAGAAAGCTACACCTTCTAATGGAAATATCTTACTCTAAGAATAAAAAATCCACTGGCTAGTTTGCTAAGTGTATGAATAGTTCACATACTGCGTTGATCCTCATCTTAAGTACTGTTAATCCAGTCTCTTGCTACATTTATCCCACCAATCCAAAGTTTGAACATCAGGCATCAATAGAGCGAGTATTTGAAACTTGTGGTCTTTGGACCCTGACTTCTATGTGCTGAAGCTCGGTTGTCCTTTTTGGTTACACTTCTTCGGTATCTCAGGAGTCATTGCAGTTTGCTTACCTACAGCTTTGGAAACATCGGTTTATGGCTTCAATATCCAATATATGTTTAACGGGTTTGTGTAAGCCAGTTGATTTCTTCTTGCCCACTTCTTGGTCTTGCTAAACGGTTCCAGGTCTTTGGCGAATTCCGATGCAGTAGACCCAGCCACTCGTCTGCTACAGCCCTGCTATACAGAACAGGAGTTTAAGTGTTGGTTAGTTCGCCTTGGACTGTAGTACAGTTGGCTCCTTCAGATGTCTGGTTGTCAGAGAGTTGTTCGGACTGGCCATTAGAGCGAGTTGGGTATGGTGAAGGTGAAACCTACGAAGGAAAATTTGTGCGTGTAAAATAGAAAAGGAAAGTGAACTGATGGACCAATCTACTCACACCTGTTATGCGAAAATGGGCGCAAAGATATGGAGAACTTAAGTAAGGCTAACTCATGGCAAGTGGAAGGGATGGAAAGGGCTTAGATGGTTACAGTAGAAAAAAACAGGTTGAAGAGGTAAAATAGTTGGAGCGGCTTGACAATAGCAGATTTCTTCCGTTTAGTTCAGATTCCAGCTACCTGTGGGTAAACCATGGGTCTCTGCCTGACAATCTAGCCTTTCCTTGAAGCTTTCAAAAGATGGGGCGGAGACTGCTGCTGTTGTTAATACATTCCGGTGACCGCAGACTAGGGGGAAGAAGTGTGAACGCACATGAGTTTCTGCCCTTTGGTGGGCAGTGCTCTTACAGTTTTCCCGAGGATCACGGTAGTGGTCACTCGGTAGTAATCATCTGTTTGAGTGATTTGAGTTATTCAATACTTTTTGAGCCATTACGAAGTCATCTCTAAACCTTCGGTAGCCAAGGGAGTATAGGCCTAAGTCTTCCAGTCTACTCTCATCTGGTTTTCGTTGCATCCCAACAACCCCTTTTGTGGCTTGCCTCTGAACTTTCTCCAGCAGGTTCGTGCCTCTTTTAAGTCGCGGTGGAGCAAAGACATTATGGACCTCCAGGTGAGGTCGTAAGTAAGCCTTGTAGAGCTTCAAAAATGGCCCTGGGGTAAGGGTGCCTAGTTGTCTGAACACAAAGTGTAGCGCACCATTTGCGTTTAAGGAATCACCCGGATAATTGGAACTTGTGTTCAGTTTCTCCATCACCGTTAAACCCAGATCTTTTTACACTATGGTATGGGATAAACGTGAACCGCAGTGAGAGTAGGATATTTTCCGGGTATCAGGAGTGTGGAAAAACATGGACCGGCACCTATCCAGGTTGAATACCAGTTCGTTATTTGTCGCCCGTTCCCCTACCGTTTTAAGGTCGTTCTGTAGTGCACTCGATTCCGCGTCACAAGTTACCACTCTCCACAACTTGACGTCTTCTTTTGCGAAACGTAGGCCAGTTTATTTGGGGGGCAACAGAGCTGCTGGTAAGATCAGTTAACCTTCTGCAACTCTTGCCTTTGCAAGGAACAGTAAGTATTAGGTGTTATCTAAAATGCAGTGCGAGAAGTAGGGTGAATAGAAAATGGGGAAAGAAGACTGAAAAGAACTTGTGAAAAAACAGATGCCACTGCCAGTTAAATAGAGAAATTATTGGTCTTATTACAGATTCTACGGTTAGGTAGCACATGGATGAATGACCACACCTTCAACTGCTGCCGGCGAATTTTGGTAGTATGCAGTTTGTACTCACGTACATACTGAGCACTCGTTTGAATGAATCAAATGAGATGGCTGTGGCTACTTCTTACTGTAGAGCGTCCCATAGTGCACGCACTCTGCTGTAGAAATTGCTAAGTTTAACTCTTATCTTTGAGACTCCTGGTTCTGGACGGATAATACTATTCAGATGTGGTGGTCCGCTTGGTGAATGATTTCGTGGATTACCGTAATGCCACATCTTTTCCTTCGGTAGATAAAGGTGAAGAAGTCTATTTGTCTAGAGCATTGCACATATACTTTGCAGGTTGGTCTGACTAGTGAGCCCTTCGCCCCCCTCCACATCTTCTTGGGGGTGTCTGGGTCCCCCTTTGGTAGAGGAGGGAACGTTCTGTAGAAAATCTGCGTGGTCTAGCATAATTTTTAAATATTATGAGAAATAGTTCTAGGGTTGGAGCTTCAGGTACTGTCTTAGGAAGTAGGTGATGTCGATCGGCTTTTCGGCCTTTCGCTTATAGCTAACACTAGTACCTAGTGTGTCAAATAAGTCTATTCCTGGGTCTTTCCCTGTAGATACTCTACCTACTGCTCACTTGTTGGGCGTATAGCTAGTCTTCATCTTTTCCCGCGTGCGAATATGCATCACTTTGCACTTCTGTGGGTTGAAGCTCAAGTTGTTCTCAGTTAGCCAGGACTCCAGCTGCAGCAGGTTGTCTTGGAGCATCCAAGGGTTATCTTTCTTGTCTGCTTTGCTCCACATTTTGATGTCGTTGGAAAGTGGAAGAATGGGTGAGGAGATTCGAACGGCGAAGTCGTTTATGAATGGCGAATGCATGAACGGTCCGTGGATAGTTACTTGAGAAACTCGCATTCATGCACTCTCCCAACCCCACCTAGATGTGTTAAATTTACTACAGGATTCTTTGTCCCACAGATATGCTGCAAACCACGCTATGAGTGGTTCAGAGACGCCCACGTTTAGACACTTTTAGAGCGTAGTGTAGCATGGGGCGATGTCTAATGCTTAGGCTAAGCCCAGAAAGATAACATGATGCCTTGTTGTTTTATTCACTGGTCCAGTCATCCCAAACAGTCATCACGCTTCTGTCACATGACACCCCGGCCCTGATGCTGCGCTGGGTGAGATGAACGACGTCGCCGCCGTTTTGATGGCCCAGAACTTCTGCAAACATACTTCCAGAACCCTAGATGATATAATAAGAGGGTCTCCCAGGCAAGATTGAAACGATGACGAATAATAAAAAACACTCCTTCATTTTGTTATTTGTTGTGATACGCCGTGATTACACAGGCAACACATCCTACACGATGAAAGATAGTGAACGATCAGTTTTGGGGCACAATCAAGTCATTTCTAAGGGAGAGGGCGTTAATAAAATGTGGTTAATCAACACAATAGACATATTCATGTTCACATTTTCCACTGGGTAAGATGTGCTTTGCATAGATTCTGAATGAAATGGAAACCCGCATCTTGATTATTTTCAGTAAAAGAAAATTGTTTGGTGGGTGAAGTGCTGGTTACCGCAAGGTTCTTAAAAAAATGCGTCCTCGATAAAAATTAGTACTTCATCGTCCTGCGCGCGAAAATCAAAACAGTCGTTAGGAGGGGGTGTCAGTTAGCAAAGGGCAGTGGTGATTACAGCTAGATGGAACGGTTGCGGAACTTGCGATAAGTCAATGTCGAATAGAACAAGGGGTTCACGGTCAGCAGTGATGTAACAGTCTGAATGCAGTACCGGGTGAAACAAAGACTGGTAAATAAAATATGGTGATGCAAGATGGGATGCAACATTAACGGCCCGTAGTTGCGTGGTCTTCTTTCCATATCACCCCATAGAGATTGGTCAAAAGGTAGCGCATCCCCACTTTTCGAGGAGTTGGCCTGCCTTCAACAGGTGAGTGAACACACTTCACGTGGGTGTTTTTAGCGCTCCGGTGAGATCCCGCTAGATCCTTGTCGTCGCGGCCCAGAGACTTTCTCATCCTAAATTTGGAAAGTTTTACAAAGTCTTGGTTCGGTGGGGCCTTTACGTTCACCGGCTTTGTAACTGATTCTTAGAACTCCACTGCGTTACTGAACATCGGCGGTGGATGCGTAAACGTATTGAGCTGCCTGCCGGATAGGCTGTTCAACGGGTCCACCACAAAATTCTGCCCAGGCTTCACCGTCCTGTTCCGTGGTCAGGTTTAGATCCTTACTCGTAGGTTTTCGCTGGAGTTGTAGTTTGGTCATTCGACCAGGTTACCCAGGTATATGCACCTGCCCCCACGAATGATTACATTACTCAGAGTGCACAACCTGTAGCTGAGAAAGTCTGACTCCTTACACGATGTGCGCCATTCGTACTATGACTTTTTCCCTCCTGAACTTGCCTCTGGATTGCATCAGTCACCCGAAAGCGTCTGAGAGGCTGTTGTCTGCTTGCCTCCGGAAAACTTTCCGATGGCACCTCATATGGTATCTTTCATGTGTATCCAGTGTTCATCCGCCGATGGAGGTAGCAACTCGTGTGACCACTGCGGATCTGGTAGTTCCTCCTTTGTAAGCTGGTAGTTCGACCGCCGGTAGCAATAGAACGTCCCAGAGTCAACGATTTTTCGGTCGGGGGCAATCTACAGGGAACCCCAGACCCAGGTTTTATGGTTGTTAGCGCTCGCCAGCAAGACGTATCCGCAACATGGAGGGAAATGATGTCTCCCCCTAGTCGCGAATTCGCGTCACTCATTGATCTGGCCAGCAACGTCACCAGTGAGCCACCAGAAGTGTCTCCCCGATGATCAAGGAAACTCTCATCAGTATGTGATCGTATTTGCCTAGGGTGGGGATTCGACAGAATAAAGTTGAGTCGCTGTTCTTTCCCATTTGGTCCCCATCATATGTTTTTCTAAACTTTTCCGCCAATCCCGCTGCCATAAAGTATTTCGAAGTCTCCGCCTAGTTTATATCTGCAACCTCTTTCTGGCCCCTATCAAATGCCAGGGTGTTGGAGTCTCCAGAGCGGACTAGGTGATCACAAACTGCCAAGGTGGATGCTAAAACAGTAGCGGGCA